GAATCATCATTACCTTACAGGTAATACCTTGTTTTTATTTAGCAACTTTCAAGATCTTCTTTTGGGGTTGCAGTGACTTCAATTGCCCTAGAGCTGATTTTTTTATATCAAACTTGCTTGAGACTTAGTGAGCTTGTTGAAATTAAACATTATATCTTTTACCAAGTTTGGGAAGTTTTTGGCTATTACATTAAAGTCCTTTAAAAGGTTCATGGAACACGCATGGAATTTAAAAAACTGCATGGATGTCAAAAATTTTTGGTACCAAAACAAACTTATCTTTAATTCCATTTTTCTTTAACTTTTTTTTTTTGTAGATTCCATAGGACAGAGCGCTGTCCTGTTGCCCTTCATTATTTTTTTTGTAAAGATTTATTTATTTATTTGAAAGAGTTACACAGAGAGAGAAGGAGAGGCAGAGAGAGAGAGAGAGAGAGAGAGGTCTTCCATCCACTAGTTCACTCCCCAATTGGCTGCAATGGCTGGAGCTGCACCGATCCAAAGCCAGGAGCCAGGAGCTTCTTCCAGGTCTCCTATGCAAGTGCAGGGGCTCAAAGACTTGGGCCATCTTCTACTGCTTTCCCAGGCCATAAATGGAGAGCTGGATGGGAAGTGGAGCAGCTGGGACTCGAACCGGTGCTGATATAGGATGCTGGCACTGCAGGTGGTGGCTTTACCTGCTATGCCCCTCTTTAACTTTTTGAAGTATCCTCATATCTTTAGTTTTTCTGCTTCATTCTCTCCATAGTTTCATTTTTCCCTTTTAAAATTAGTTTTTTAATAATTTCTCTTACTTTGCTGATAATTTGTATTTTTCAATTTTTTCTAAAGTTTTATTATTTTTAAAAATTTATTTGATAGGCAGAGCTACAGAGATGGAGGGAGGGAGAAAGAGAGAGAGACAGACAGACAGACAGACATATTCTATCCACTGGTTCACTCCCCGAATGCTGCAACAGTTGGGCTGAGCAAGGCAAAGCCAGGAGCTTCTCTCGGGTCTCCCATGTGTATGGGGTCCCAAGTACTCCGATCATCTTCCCCTGCTTTCCCAGGCGTACTGTCAGGAAGCTGGATTGGAGGTGGAGCAGACAGGACCAAAACAGCTGCCTATATGGGATGCTGGGACTGCAGGCGGTGGCACAACACTCTGCGTCACAACACCCATCCCTGTGTTTTAAATTCCTTACAAACACATGTTCCTCTAAGCTGAGTCATAGCAGCTGCTTTAAGACCCTTACTTCGGTGCATTTGGTGCAGCAGTTAAGATGCTGGTCACAGGGCTGGCGCTGTGGCATAGCAGGTAAAGCCACTACTTGCAGTGCCAGCATCCCATATGGGCACCAATTCGAGTCCTGACTGCTGTACTTCTGATCTGGCTCTCTGCTATGGCCTGGGAAAGCAGTAGAAGATGGCCCGAGTCCTTGGGCCCTGTACCCATGTGGGAAACCCAGGAGAAGCTCCGGATTGGTGTAGCTTCAGCTGTTGCAGCCAACTGGGGAGTGAACCAGCAGATGGAAGACCCCCCTCTCTCTCTCTCTCTCTCTTTCTCTCTCTCTCTCTCTTTTGCCTCTCCTTCTCTCTCTGTATAACTCTTTCAAATAAATAAATAATCTTAAAACAAAAAGTTGCTGCTCAGGACACCTGCATCCCATGTCAGAGTGCCTGTGTTCAAGCCCCAGCTCATACCCCATTCCAGCTTCTTGCTGATGTGCATCCTGGGAAGCAGCAGTGATGGTTCAGGTAGTTGAGTCCCTGCCACTCATACAGAAGACCTGGACTGAGTTCACACCTCCTGGCTTCAGCCCAGCCCAGTCCCAGTAGTTGTGGACATTTGGGGAGTGAAGCAGCAGATGACAGATCTCCATCTGTCTGGTCTGTATATCTGCCTTCATTTCAAAATAAACATAAGTAGCTAAATAAATGTTTTACAAAGATCCTTGTCTGCTAATCCAGTATCTGCATCATCTCTGGGCTGGCGTCTGTTAAATCCCTTTCCCTCTGGGTGAGGTCCCATTTTCCTGGTTCTTTATTGTTGAAGATTTTTAAAAATTATTTTAATGTATGTATTATTTTTATTTATTTGAAAGGCAGAAGGATACAGAGAGACAGAGGTGGACAGACAGGGAGAGATCTTCCACATACGGATTCACTCCCAAAATGCCTGAAACAGCGAGGGCTAAGTCAGGCCAAAACCTGGAGCCCAGATCTCAATCTGGGTCCCCCCATCAGTGCAGGGACTCAAGTACTTGAGATGTCAGTGCTGTCTCCCAGGTGGGCATCAGCAGGACACTGGAGTCAGAAGTCCAGCATTTGGATTTGGGCGGGCCAAGTGCACCCAAGTGTGGGCATCCCAAACGGTGACTTAACAGCTACACACCCCTGTTGAATAATTCTCAGTTGCATTCTGGACATCTTTCCTCTTCAGAGCATAGATACTTTTGTTGTAGAAGGCAATTACTTTGCTTAGACTCAACTGTAAACTCTCTCTGGGGATGTAGCTAGCATTTCAATGCAGTCCTTTTGTCTTAGGCTATGTGTAACCAGCCCTACCCAAGGCTGGCTCAGAGACTTGAGCAGATATACACAGAATCTGCATCTGTCTTCCAAGATTCCCTTTTCATTTGTCATCAGCTGTGTTTGCCCAAAGTCTGTTTGCTAGTTCTTCAGGCCAGAAGGACTGTGGGTTTCTGTAGGAGTGTTAACCACTCTGTGGTCTCTCCTTAACCCAGGCTGAAAGCTGTGAAGAGGTAACTCACCCGGTGCCATCACCTTCTTCCCAGTTCCAATGGCTCCATGGGGGTCTCTTTTCGCGTGAGTTTAGAGTTTTCATTTGTAGGAGGCTTAGACCTGCAAGGAGGTTACCAGTTGTATCAGCAGCAAAAGGGATCTTTTGGATCTTTTGACATTCCTTATTTATCTGGTTATTTGTTCTCTGTCTTTAATATTGAAAGCTTTCTGAAAATGTCTGTTCCTACATTGTTTTTTTCCTGTTTGGGAAGTTCTGAGTGCAAGCTGTTAGTTTCAAAGGATGAACTTTGTTATAGAGGGATCAGGCAGGGACTTGCTGCTTTCTTGGTAACTTCAAAGTACCATTTTCCCCTCTGAATACATCTGATTTTTCTTGAGAGCAGTATTTCAGATTCCTTCTTGTGGGAAATCTGCTTAGATGCACACAAAGCAGAGCTGAGAAAGTGTCTCACAGGTCAGCATTGAGATTTTCTTAAATTTTATTTATTTTTTATGGGAAAGGCAGAGAGACAGACTGATGGGCAAAGTGATTCAGATGTCCACCACAGCCAAAGCTGGGCCAGGCTGAAGCCAGGAGCCAGGAACTCCGTTTGTTTCTCTGCTGTGGGTTGCAAGGACCCGAGTACTCAGGTCATCACTGCCTCTCAGGGTGTACATTAGCAGGAAACTGGTAAAATTTATTTGAGAGGTGGGAGGACGGCTCTCATCCACTGGTTCACTCTCCAAATGCTCTCAACTGCTAGGGGTGGGCCAGAGCTGAAGCTGGGTGCTGGGACTATCATCCAAGTCTCCCACATGGGTGACAGGAAATCAAACAGGTGGGCCATCACCAGCGCCTCCCAGAGTGTGCACCAGCAGGAAGCTGATGTCAGGATCTAGAGCTGGGAAGGGAACTCACGTGTTCTGATATGGGAGGTGGGCATCTTAGCAGCCAGGCCCGCCACCTGCTGCTCAGTTGAAGTTTTAACGAATCCTGCCATTTTCAGGCAGTACCTCACCAGGTCCTTACCCGTGCCTGGAAGACCTGTGCCCCAGTTCCCCTGGTTCTCTTTTTCCGTAGTGGATCTTTCCAACTACTGGACTGAAGGGGGCTGATATCCAATCACGGGGTGGGGGAGCTAACCTAAGGGTACGACTGTTTCTTAATCAAATCTTTAACCAACTGTTTTGCTCTCAGCCCTGCCCTTGCCCCTGGCAACTCCCACGTCCAGGTACTTCTGTGGGGTTTTGTTGGACTGGATGCTTTTTCTTGGCTTCCTGCATCCCTTCCACCTGGGAATCCAGTCCGCATCCACCCTGGCTCTGCCTGGCACCGTGTTATTGTCTGCTGTGTGCTCACACTCGATGTCCTTCTACACTTACACCTCTTTATTCTTCCATGATCATGGGCATGAGATTTTTGGAGAATGGTCACTGTGCTCTCTTGTCTTACTCATAGGAAGTGAATAAATGATAATGAGCCCATTTGAGGAGAAAGCGTAACTTTTCCAGTAAATGAAAAACACAAACTTTTCCCTTCCTCATATTATGTTGGAAACTTAACAAGATGGTTTACTCTCCAAGCCAGAGCATCAAGTGCAGAGTGTGGTGCTTATATCAAGGGTTTCTGAAGTCTAAAGAATCTGAGGGTCTGTCTATCTTTCTCTCTCTTTCTCTTTTCTCTTTCCTTCCTCACTTCCCTCCTCCCTTCTCTCCCCCACCCCTTTCTTCTTCATTTTGTAAAACCCCTGAGCTCTTTCCAAAAGTTTTGGGATCCCTCAGAGCATAGATGGCAAGCTGTCGCTTTAGTGACAGCCTTTACACTACCTTAGCCCACACAGAATGCGCACCTGTCTCTCGTGTGTGGATGTTGGGAATGTTATGAAATAATGATATCATTTAAGCTGTCCTGCACATGCACAATGTCTGGAGCATGATGCTGTGGATTTGAACACGTTGTTTCCCTTCATTTCCACGATGCTGTGAGGTGGGTGTGATCACCATCCTATTTGGTAGTGGAGGAAACGGAAGCCGCGGAGGTTAAGCACTTGTTTGTGGCTACAGCTAGGAGCTGCGAGAGCTAGGGCACCAAGCCCTGTCACTCAATCGCGCCGTGACCCTGGGATGGTCTGGTGAGCTCTGTGTGGTCCCCACCCAGAGCAGTTGGCATCAGCACAGTGGGAGCTGTGCTCTGAGACCTGCCTCCCAGTGGGAACGTAACTGTTAACAGGACCGCGTAAGACCGGAAAGCAACACGTGTCTCTAATCCACAGGCAAGGCCAGCTCCCTGACAGCCCACCCTACTCCGCATCAGACTCATGCTCCCCTCCGCAGGGCAAAGGTGAGTGAGGGCTCGCCCTGTGCCTCCTCCTCTCAGACTCCGGGTGGTAAGAAGCAGAGGCACTCCCTGCCGTGTCTTCCCGCAGATGCCTGCCACGGGACCCTGAGGACCACACCTGGCCGGGCCCCAGCTGCCTTTCCCCACAGCACAGCTGCTCCCCGGATGCTGCCGGCGCACCCTCCACAGAGCGTGGCTGCCGTGAGCTACGCCTGCCAGACCCACGGCGGCTTTCACACCTGCTGTCCCGACACCGGCCACCCTGCCCCTCCACCGGACCAGTGCGCGCCCTCGCATCTGGGGCTAAGTTGTTCTCACCATCAGCAAACGCTGTGCCACATCCCTGGGTAAAGGGCACCGTATTTAGCCTTGACCGACCTCAGCAGAAAGCCTCCAGCAGGCGGCCCCTGTGGCAGTGACCTAGACTGTCCAGCGGACTCCTGTCCAGGAGGTGGCAGTATTGAGACGTGTATGGGCCGTGGCGAGGCCCTGGTGTTCTTGCCTTAGCCCATCTTTTAATTACAAACCTAGCAAACCCAAGGCCCTCATTCAACAAGGACCTGAAGTGTCAGAAATATACAGGGAGTTTCTGGGCGAGGAAGGAAGTGCTGTTTTTATGGGAATCTGATCAAGGGAATCTGAATGAACTATCAGAAAACTATCCATCAATTAAGTACTGACTGATATTCTCCCCCCCCCCCCTTTCCTTCTTTCATTCCCTTGATTCCTTCTGGATCTAGAGGATGGCAAAGGGCATCAAAAACTGTGGGAAAAAAAAAAACCTCAGGTGTAAAGCATACACCTGTGTTTTAATTTCCTGTCGTCTCTCTCTCAGTAAATTCTCTGCCTTTGGAAATGTCTGTTTTCTAGGCAAGAGAGTCTCCGACCCACTGGATAAGGGAAAACTGAGTTTCAGACTAGTTGGGCTCAAGGCACCTTAACCAACTGGACTTAGTCTTAGGAAAGTGGAGAGCAGATACCAGGGAGAGTGCAGTGATGTAACGTGATGGAGAGCAAAGAAGATGCCTAACGTCCACTCTGCTTTCTTGATTCTAGAACCTCCCTGCCCCCCAGCAAGAAGAGGAAGCACACACAGGCACTGGAGGGCCCCGAGGACTGCCGAGTGTGGCCACACTACTCCAGACCAAGTGAGCAAACCTGGGGCAGGGGACAAGACCAAGATTGGCCACCAGCCTTTGAATAGCTATACAAGATTTCGTTCTGTTTCAGAGAGAGACAGTGCTTTCCTTCCCCTGGACGTGCCTTTTCATGCAGGGAGGATCACACAGGTGCTCCCAGGAAGAGCTGCCGTTGTCTCTCCCTGGTGCAGGTGCAACCCCAGTGTTTCAGTTTTAGGAGCACCATGTCTCAGAAGGCCCGCGCTTCAGGGCCGGCGAGAGTTTGCTGATGCACCTGTTGCCTGGCTGAGTGCAATCCTCTTTGACCGTAATGTGAATAGAACAGCATGAGGCTCTTGGTCAAATGCGGATTCTGATTCAGTGAATCTGCTACGGGGTGTGAGATCTACATTTCTAGCATCTCCCAGGTGAGGCCAATGCTGCTGGTTCCTGGAAGGCACTCTGAGCAGCAAGAGGTCAGAGGATGTCTCCACGGGAGCGGGAGGGGTGGGGCGTTGAGCTTTCCTGGGACTCCACCAAACCTGGGAGTTCTGAGTTGAGCTTTGAAACTCCGGAAAATCATGTTGGAGGTCTTCCATCGGTATCATCTGATGCCCCAGGGGTCAGCCTATCTTTTTTTTAGTCTTATATAAAATGGAACATACTATGTTTGAGCTTAGAGACCTCATCAAGTTGTGAAGAAAGTGTTATCTTTTGGAGTCCGAAGACTTGAACTTCTGAATTTTCCAAGCAGATTCTCTGGTCTTTACTAGGGAAAAGGATGATACTCCAGGAGACTTTCCGCCACTGTAGGTTCTCCAGTGTGGGCTGTGTGAACAGCGCTTTGCATTCAGGGCAACAAGTCCCTGCAGCAGCTTCACATGAGGTTTCCCTCTTGGGGCTCCCCTCTCCATGGCCGCCAACCTGTAGAAGTTTACACTGCCCGGAAGGGAGCTGTGTGTGGCTTTCTAACCTGAGTAGGGGAAGATGCCCCTCCTAGCCAGAGACACTGCCTTTGCCTTCAACCAGGTATGAGCTCAGCTGGCAGGGGCATCTGGCTTCAGCTCCAGCATGGGCTCTGGAGGCCCTTTAGGGGATGATGACCTCCCCTTGTCAGCCAAGTCCCCCAGGTCCCCATCCCCAGGGACCAACCTTGCCCAAGCAACCTCTCCTTTGGCCAGAAGTTTATTTTTCTCTTCTCAGTCCTGGAAATCCAGCATGCTCATGGAAACCCCCCTTTTGGATGATCTCAAGCTCCCTGCTCATGTCCCATGTGAGGTGACATTAATTTCTTCATTGTCATTAGCCTGTGGCTTCTTTATGATTTTCCAACATAATAGGCCAACTGAGTTCTTAGCCAGAAGGGGGAACCATCTGTTCACCCTCCTCCTGGTGCCCCAGCTCCCTGGAGGTACTGGCGAGTCACTCAGCCCTTCCAGGAGTTTCCATGTCCATCCAGATTGTTACACAAAGCACCCTGGCCAGTCCAGAGTTAAGCTCCTTCCTGGGGTGGTTTGTGGCTGCAACCCTGAGATAGCACTGGTTTCTCAAATCTTCAGAAAACAGCCACAGGAGAGTCTGCGTTTCCTATAGGGGTGGCCAAGGACCCAAGTACTCAAGCCACTTCCTGCTACTTCTTGGGGTGCACATTAGCAGGAAGCCAGAATCATAAGTGGACCCAAAGACTCCAACCCAGCCACCTTGGCATGGGATGTGGGTTTCCCAAGTGCTGTGTCAATGCTTGTCCCAAAAAATAATACTTTGTAAAAGCACCATTGTTTGAACTCTTTGCTGGTGGCAGACACTGAGCTAAGCACTTTGTAGAAGTTACCTCACTGCATCCCTTCAAGAACCCTAGAAAAATATTTTTTCTATGACATTTGGGATCTAAAGTAACCTGGAGAAACTCTATTTATTTATTTTAGGTAAATATGGACAGAAGGAAAGCTGAGTGAAAGAAACGCCCCTTTCTGCTGCAGATTCCACGCTGTGGGCTAGGTGGGCACGTTCTGAAGAGGCCAGTGCCCTGCTTCTGTGTCAGTGCTGAGAGGCTGCACCTGGCCCTTCAGACGCCTGCTCCTTCCCTTTCTCTCCTGAAGTCAGGCATGAGTGATCGTGGAGGAGTTAGAAGAAAGGGGAAACAGCAAAAGGCCCAATAGTATTTTACATAAAAAAAAAAATCTGACGTTGAATCATACAGTTTGGGAGGCAAACTCAAATTAAGACCAACCACTTGTAAGGATTATGCAAAAATGGTTGGTTGCACATGTGAAATTGCTGTTATGTCACCATTTTTGGCAGACACGGATGGTAGTTTCATGTAGTTGATATTGCACACTCCCAAGATCGTCTCTGTTGCTTTAGCTGGGTTTTAGCTTCTTGGAGTGCTTTCACTTCTGTTATCTCATTCTGTCTGCTTGCGTAATGTTGCAAGATGGGCAAGATAGGCAGTTTTAACTTCTGTTCTTCAGCCGAGGAAGGTGAGACTCTAAGTGAATAAAGAACTCCTCTAAGTTCCGAAGGCTACTCAGACCTCAGATTCTTGGTGCCACAAGAGCCTGTAGCAAATTACTACATGTTGGTTGCAATGAATAAAAACTTCTCACTGCCTTAACGGGAGAGGGAAAAAAAAGTGCAACACAAATAACCAAAACCTGGGGGTCTGCTGGCTCCTATAATTCAAGCATTCAGGAGTGGATCCCAGAACTGGAGTCACATCCTCAGAGCTGCGTGCCCTTCACTCTTGATTCTGTCTTCTGCGGTGCAGGGTTCATTCCCATGTGGGCTTTGCTTCATGTCCCACAGTGGTGCCAGCAGCTGCTGGGGATGTTATCACACAGGTTCAGACCTCTTGGGAAAGAGCCGTGTCTATGCCTACGCCCCCTGACGTGCCCAGACTCACTAGACTTGGATTGACTTAGGCCACTTGCCCTTCCGGATACAAGCAATGAATGCTCTCCTGCGACTGGTCCAGCCGGGGTCACTGCCTCCCTGGGTCTGGGAGAGGACTTCACTGGAACCACATAGACTTGGGTGGGGGGAGCTATGCAGGCTGTAAGAGAATGAGATTTCCAGCCAGTGTCCGCCACCTCCTCTGGGGGTCCCTGAACTCGAGTTGGTCTTTATGCAGATGAGTGAATAAGGCCAGTAGCACCCTTCCCGCCTCCTGATACCTGGCACTTCCCACAATCACTTGGCTTTGCCTGTGGCCCATCTGTTAACTCCATGCAGCTGTCTCAGGTCTGCGATGAGCAGTCTGGTAGGAAGGGTCTAACTCCCTGATTGCCTTGCAGTGACAAGTAGGAGTCACAGCGGCGACATTCAAGACCACGACGGTGAGGGACACAATGGGACACCTGTGGACCAGTGCTCCCCTGCTCTGAAGTGGCAGCCCTACCAAAGTGTTCCTTGGCACAGCTTGTTAAACAGTCACTATGAAAAACTGTAAGTGGCCCCATGACCCTTGGGGAGGCTGGAGAGTGGGGGGAGACAGGCAGGGCTAAATCTCCAGATTGAGTCTTCAGTATTTGGGCTTTGATGCCAGCACTGGGTATGTGGGATGGGTCAGTGAGAAAGTCTGTCTTCTTGTGCTTTGTTTCCCAACTAATGAATACCTGCCATGCGTTTCTGGCCTGCAGGAACCCAGACATGTGATTCTGACTCATTATAATCTGCCCACTAAGTGTTGGGGGGAGAGGGAATCTTTCTGGGATCACATGCCCAGTTTAAACCAACAGCCAGAAAAGGTGGATCTCCTAAATCACTAGCATGTCACCCTGCAGTTCACTTATACCACCATAGGATACTTTTTTGGGCCACCATCATGTTGTGAATCAGTGTTGTCAAATTCAAAATAAACCTTGCGCAATCATAGCCAGAGGTTTCCTTATATTAAGAGGCTGAAATCAAGCCATATAAGTTATCCTAAAACTGGGAAAGCTTAACCTGATTTTGACATTATATTTCAAGAAATAGTGTGGACATGACTGCTTTTAAACATCTGTTAGAGCTTTTTTATTCCTTAGGATATAATTTACCTACCCAAGTCTTCTAGAATTTTCATTGACTGTAAATGCCCTCTTGAAACTCTAAAAAAGTGTTAATAGTAAAAAAACTAGGATTCTTAAGTAATAAATATGAAATGAGAAATGTTGCGATATAATTGAGGGCCTTCTTGATATTTTCCAAATTCAAGTGTAGGATAGCTTGTCACTAGGATTCTTAAGTTGGGTATACAAGAATGGAGAAATATTTTCTTTAAAAAAAATCTAGGGAGTTAAACAGACTTTGGGAGTTGGTGTGTTTATTGCTATTTTTAAGGATTTATTTATTTGAAAAAGAAGACTTACAGAGAAAAAGGGAGAGACAGAAAGAGAGATCTTCCATTCAGTGGTTCTCTCCTCAAATGGCTGCAACAGCCAGGGCTGGGTCAGGCTGAAGCCAGGAGTCAGGAGCTTCATCTGGGTCTTCCATGTGAGTGCAAGGGCCCAAGCACTTGGGCCATCTTGCACTGCTTTCCCAGGTGTATTAGCAGGGAACTGGAATGGAAGTGAAGCAGCTGGGACTCAGGTGCCATATGGGATGCTGGCGCCATAGGCAGTGGCTCAACCCACTATGCCACAACGCTGACCCCATTTGGTGTGTTTAATAGGAGGCAAAAAGAAGCTAATTGCTAGTTGTATCAGTGAAGTGTCACAACTTTATGTCCTTCCTGCTATGAGCAATTAGAAAATGAAATGAGGGTCCATAGGCTTTGAGTCTTAGCCCTCATTTGGTTATATTCTGGGGAGTTCCATGTTCTGTATTCACTGTGAGGACTGAGGTATGAACTTCACACAGAGGCAGTGGTTTACTTAGACCTTTAATGTTTCCCAGTCCCTGTGCATCTGAGTGGATCAAGTTTTCAAGGTAAGGGTTACTTCTCTTCTTACTTGAAGAGATTTTTAAAAGCATCTCTGCTCCAATGATCTGGAAATAAAAGAACACAGATGGTATCAACTCAAAGGTAAAGAGGCAGATTATTTTGAATGTTTAGCCATAATTCACTTTTGCTAAGCAAAAAAGAGAGGCAATACTCATTGCCATTAAAATTCAGGCTTTCCTGATTCCACTATCTGTAACATTAAGACAGAAAATCACTTATCTTTTCTTCTTAGATAACTCTGCCTAATTTGTTACAAAATATAGTTCCTCTAAATTACCCCAAATGCTATAAAATTAGGGCATTAAAATTCTATTAGATCTTTTTTTCTTGGAATGATGTATTGTCAGAGTCAGTGTAGTTGACTTTATCCTTCACTTTTTTCTTTATTTAAGATTCATTTATTTATTTGAGAGGTAGAGTTACAGACAGAGAGAGGGACAGACAGAGAGAAAGGTCTTCCATCCGCTGGTTTACTCCTTAGATGGCTGCAACTGCCAGAGCCGGGCCAATCTGGAGCCAGGAGCCGGGAGCTTCTTCCGGTCTCCCATGTAGATGCAGGGGACCAAGCATCTGGGCCATCTTCCACTACTTTCACAGGCCATAGCAGAGAGCTGAATTGGAAGGGGAGCAGCAAGGACTTGAACCAACGCCCATATGGGATTTGGGTTCCACAGGCAGAGGCTTAACCCGCTACAACACAGCACCAGGCCCATCCTTCACCTTTGATATTGAGAGCAGAACTGCCATTCTTTAGTAACAAGGACAGATTTCCATAACCAGAGGTTTCTGTTCAGGTTCAGAATAATCCTCACCAGTGTAATTCTTGTCAGTTGTGTTTTAGCGTACAACTGCCCTTAAATTTCAGGTTAATGCTCCTACCTGTTCCTTAAACCCTGCCTTCTTCCCTCAGAGTTTTTGACAGTGAAATATGGAACACTGCAAACAAAATCATTTTTGCTCAATGAAGAGAGCTTATACTACCTTCTGTGGTAAAATCTATACGGTTGTATCCATCTGGCCTTTAAGTGAGCATAGTAGTGGCTTAATTCAAGACACTTTTTTTAATAGAAAGTGTCCAGAGGCCTAGCATGCCTGCTGCTTATTGAATTCCTGGGTGGTGCTGCTATGGTGGCGCCTTTGCCTGATGAGCTACTGGAGGTAATCAGTGACCCAGGGACCTGATCCACAGGGGCGGCTTTTTTGTTTGTTTGTTTGACAGGCAGAGTTAGACAGTGAGAGAGAGACAGAGAGAAAGGTCTTCCTTCCGTTGGTTCACCCCCCAAATGGCCGCTATAGCCAGGGCGCTGCACTGATCCGAAGCCAGGAGCCAGGTACTTCCTCCTGGTCTCCCATGTGGGTGCAGGGCCCAAGCACTTGGGCTATCCTCCACTGCCTTCCCAGGCCACAGCAGAGAGCTGGACTGGAAGAGGAGCAACCAGGAAAGAATCCGGCACCTTAACCAGGACTAGAACCCGGGGTGCCGGCGCCGCAGGCGGAGGATTAGCCTAGTGAGCTGAGGCACGGGCCAGGGGCAGCTTTAACTCCCAAAGAACATGAATGCTCTTTTGCCAAAGCAGGCATGGATAGTTTGCATTTCTGAAAATTTAGAAACTCTGTTGTAATCAGTGGCAGCTGTTCACATTAGGATCCCAGGGAGCAAAGATCCACACAGAAGAGTATCGAGTCCTGTTGTCCTCTGCTAGGGTTCCTGGGAAGGAGCTCCTTGAGAAAGAGATGCACATTTAGGAGGCTCGGGGTATTAAAAGTCACGTTCCGGGGCAGCTCTTTGGCCTAACAGTTAACAGACCCATGTCCCACTTCCCGGTAACTGGGCTTGATACCTGGCTAGGGCTCCTGGCTCCTGCTTCCTGCTAATGCAGACTTCAGGGGACGCCATGTTTCAAGTACTAGGTCCCTGTCACCCATGTGAGAGACCTGGATTGAGTTCCTAGTTCTCAGGCACACCAGTTTGCAGCATTGGGAAGTGAGTCAGGAGATGGAAGATCTCTCTGTCTGACTCTCTCTGTCTTTTCAAGAAATTAAAAATAACACCAAAATCTTGTTCCTTATCTAAAATGTGTACTGGAAAGCTCACTACCAAAGATGTTTCTAATTTAAATTTCTTTTCTACTTGCTCATGTTATATGTTAGTGTGTCTTATTAATATATATTTTAAAGATTTAATTATTTGAAAGTCAGAGTTACAGAAAGGGAGAAGTAGAGCCAGAGAGAGAGAGATCTTCCATCCACTGGTTCACTCCCCAAGTGGCCACAATGGCCAGGGCTGGGCCAGGCTGAAGCTAGGAGCCAGGAGCTTCATCCGTAATTCCTATGTGGGTGTGGGTGCAGGTGCCGCAGCACTTAGTCCATCCTCCACTACTGTCTCAGGCACATTAACAGGGAGGTGGATAGGAAGAAGAGCAGCTGGGGCTTGAATTGGCGCTCATGTGGGATCCTGGTGCTGCAGGTGGCAGCTTTATCCTCTCTGCCACAGTGCCAGCCCCTATGATTATTTTAAAGAGGAATTTACTGAGCATTTATCCACAAAGAATTGTTATTGAAAATAACAGTGATAGGGGCCGGCACCGTGGCTTACTAGTGCCTGTGGCGCCGGCATCCCATATGGGTGCTGGTTTCTAGTCCCGGTTGCTCCTCTTCCAGTCCAGCTCTCTGCTGTGGCTCAGTAGGGCAGTGAGGAGGGCCCAAGTGCTTGGGAGACCAGGAAGAGGCACCTGGCTCCTGGCTTCGGATCGGTGTGGCTCTGGCCGTAGCGGCCATTTTGGGGGTAAACCAATGGAAGGAAGACCTTTCTCTCTATCTCTCTCTCACACTGTTTAACTCTATCTGTCAAATAAAAAAGAAAGAAAGAAAGAAAGAAAATAAAAGTGATGAAGACCCTGGTTCTGTTATCTGCATTCCATATTGGGTGTTTCAGTTTGAGTCCCAGCTCTGCTATTCATTACAGCCTCCTGCAACTGTGCACCCTTGGAGGCAGCAGGTGATGACTCAAGTTAGTTAGGTCCCTGCCACCCACTTGGGAGACGTGATTTGGGTTCCTAGTTCCAGGCTTTAACTAGCCTAGCCCAGTTATTGCATCCTTTGGGGATTGGGCCAGTGGATGGGAACTTGCTCTCTCTCTCTGTGTCTCAATCTTTCTACTTCTGAAATAAATAAATAAATAAAATTTTAAAAAGAAAATGGTAATGATAGAACAAATAAATCAATAGTCTACTTTGACACCTCACTGCTCTCCCACTCCTTTCTGGAGAAGTAACCATCATGGTAGGTTTTCAGAGTTATTGTCAGATTAGGAGAAAAAAGGAAAGGACCATGTTCTATTAAAAATGGGTTTTCAAATAGCTAACACATGGAATCAACCTAAATGCCCATCAACCAAAGGATGGATAAGAAATTATGGGGTATGTACACTATCGAATACTACACACCGGTAAAAAAAATGAAATCCGGTCATTTGCATCAAAATATCAGACTTAGTGAAATAAGCCAGTTGCAAAAGAACAAATACCATATGTTCTTTATCTGTGAGAACTAATAGAGCACCTAAAAGGAACTCTGTAGAAGTTAAATTGATACTTTGAGGAGCAATAACTTAAACAGCTCTTGTCTTGACTGTCTAGGAGCAGTTTTTTTTTTCCATACTATTTGTTGAACTCTTTACTTACTCAACATAGTTACTCATATATGTATAAAGTCAATTGAAAGTAGATCTTAGTAAAAAATAAGAGTGGGAATAGGAGAGGGAGGAGGAGGTTTGTAACTGTAAAGCTATATATTTCTGCGTACATTCCTATGGAATTACTTCCAAGGGTAAGTTTAAAAAGTTTTAAAAACTTGCCAAGGGACCCCAAATCCCATTAAGCTGGGTGGTAAAAATGCCATTTAAAGTGTTAAAGTGATCATATTAAGTGTTAAAGTGAGCATATAGATAGGATTAAGTGTTAAAAAGATCATATAAATAAGATCAAGTATCTGGTAATAATAATAATAATAAATAGAATTAAAAAGGAGAGAATGTTCCAACATGAGAAACAGTCCACACAGCAGACCCATAGAATGACAATTGCTTTAAGTAGCATTCTGACCTCAGAATCAGCCTTTAAGACATTCAGGCCTGGCTGAAAAGCCCATGAGAGCATTTCAGGCATGGAAAGCCAAGACACTGTGGCAAAAAATGTTCTACATGAAAGATCTCTGTGATCGAGACCCCAGCAGAGAGAAGTGGCCATCAAAGAAGGATGTACTTTTCTCTGAAGGGAGAAGAGAACTTCCCACTTTGATTATGGCCTTGTCTAAATACTGATGGAGTTTGTGGATTCAAAAGGCTTCCATAGCCTAGGCAACTCTTGACAAGAGTCTCGGGTGGTCACAGATATCATACGTAAGAGTGTTAATTGTTAAATTGACAACAGGAGTCACTGTGCGCTAACTCCCCATGCAGGACCTTTGTCTTCAATGAGTTGTATTATGAGAGTTAACTGTAAAACTTGTTCTTAAACAGTTTTTTTTTGTGTGTATGTGTATGCAAATTGTTGAAATCTTTACTTAGTATAGAGTTGATCTTCTGTATATAAAGTTAATTGAAAATGAATCTTACTGGATAATGGGACTGGGAATGGGAGAGGGAGGAAGAGGAGTGGGAGTGTGGGTGGGAGGGTGGGTTTGGTGGGAAGAATCACTGTATTCCTAAAGTTGCACTTATGAAATTTGTATTCCTTAAATAAAAGGTTGTCGCTCCCCCTCTTCATGGAGGAACGACACTAAGCCCTGCCTAGGCTTCATATCCGAGTCACGGCACCATTATGTCGCTCCCCCTCTTCGTGGAGGAGCAACACTGAACCCTGCGCTGTTCTTTCGTCTGCTCGGCCTTCCCCGGGTTTGCTGCTGGTTCTTCCCGGGTTGGCTACTATCCCTTCCACCTCCGTGGAAGGGCGGTTCCCCCTGCCACATTCCCCACTTCCGCAGGGGAGCGGCACACCGCCGGCCGGCTCTCTCGGGGGCTGCACAGGTGTTCCCCTTAGATGTTCCTCTTAGATGTTCCTGGTGCATGCCGTCTCTCTCCTCCTTTATAGTCCTCCTCCGCCAATCCCAACTCGGCTGCCCACACGCCAAGTACGCTGCTCTCCTCCAATCAGGAGCAGGTCCTGCTGTTTATTGGCTGAACTGGAGGCAGCTGTGTAGAAGCTGTTTTCTTCTCTCCCAGCGCCATATTGTGGGAGAGCAGATGCATAGAATAAGTCTTAATTCCAGTAACTTAGTCTAGTCCGAATTGCTCCCCACAAAAGGTTTCTTTGGGAAAAAAAGGTTTTCAATCAGTGATGTGACTGTCTGTGGTTAATTTGGTGTAAACCTACTGCTAGTTATTCTGACCAGTCTGCTTTTCTATATGACTACCAAGAGGCTGAATGTTTACTTGTTTGAGTGATTTTCTTTTTAAAGATTTACTTATTTATTTGAAAGACAGAGTTATAGGTAGAGAGGAGGAGATTTTCCATCCACTGGTTCACTCCTCAGATAGGCACAACAGCCACGCTAGACCAGGCCTAAGCCAGAAGCTGGGAGCTTTTTCCAGGTTTCCCACATGGTTGTCAGGGGCCCAAGCACTTGGGCCATCTTCCGGTGTCTTCCCAGGTGCATTAGCTGGGAGGTAGTTCACAAGTAGAGAAGCTGGTATATGATATAGTGCTCATATGGGATGCCAGCATTGCAGGTAGCAGCTTAACCTGCTGCACTAAAATGCGAGCCCTTGAATGATTTTTTTAAAATATTTATTTATTTTTTTATTTGAAAGCCAGAGTTACACAGAGAAGGAGAGTCAGAGAGAGAGAGAGAGAAAGAGGGCTTCTATCTGCTGGTTCACTCCCTAAGTAGCCGCAATGGCTGGAACTGTGCTGATCCGAAGCCAGGAGCCAGGAGCTTCCTCCAGGTCTCCCACATAGGTGCAGGGGCCCAAGAACTTGGGCTATCTTCTACTGCTTTCCCAGTCCACAGCAGAGAGCTGGATCAGAAGTGGAGCAGCTGGGACTTGAACTGGCGCCCATATGGGATGCTGGCACTGCAGACTTTACCCGCTATGCCATAGTGCCAGCCCCTTGAATAAATTTTTGAGTGTGCTGTCGCTGATGAAATTTAGAGACTGTTTTGAGGAGGAAGGAGATGAATCCTATTACTGATATTTCACAAGCGAATGCTGTAACTTTTCTACATCTTGCCAATGGCTTTCTGTCATATTGTGGAGGCAAATTAGAAGTCTGAAAAGTGGACAGGCACTCTGAGGAAGCAGAGCTCCCACTCAGTAAGAAGTGTACTTCTTCCTGAGAGCAGATTAAAAATGAGGTAGGAGCCAGTGGTGTTTTTAAATATCGTTTTCATTTCCTCAGTAAAAATTCAAGACACCACTTGATTAAATATAATAAAAGGCACTTTCCACAATGTATTTCCTTGAGATGTTTATGCAATTGATATTATCAATGAAAGAAAATGTGCAATTGTTTTCTTGATTCCTTTTGTCCTAGACCTGATGTGGGCTATCGAGTTATCACAGACAAAGGATTTAATTTTTCACCAGCAGATGAAGCTTTTGTTTGCCAAAAGAAGAACCATTTTCAGATAACCATCCACGTCCAAGTTTGGGGGAATCCAAAATTTGTGAAAACCCAAATGGGCCTAAAGCCAATAGAAATGTTTTACTTAAAAGCTTTTGGAATTAAGGTAAGCCTTTTATTTTGTTCAATGTAATGCTGTCAACATTCAGTAATAATTGCAGTTGTCTATTACCATATAAATAAAAATTACTCCCAAACTTAGTGACTTAACATAACACTGACCCGGGGCCGGCACTGTGGCATATTGGTTAAAACTGCCACCTTCAGTGCCACCGTCCCCTATGGGCACTGGTTCGAGTCCTGGCTGCTCCACTTCCGATCCAGCTCTCTGCTATGGCCTGGGAAAGCAGTAGAGGATGGCCCAAATCCTTGGGCCCCTGCACCTGCGTGGGAGACCTGGAGGAAACTTCTGGCTCCTGGCTTTGGATTGGCGCAGCTCCGGCTGTTGCAGCCAACTGGGGAGTGAACCAGTGGCTGGAAGACTTTTCTCTCTCTCTCTCTCTCTTTCTCTCTCTCTCTCTCTCTTTCTGCCTCTTCTTGTTTCTGTGTAACTCTGCCTTTCAAGTAAATAAATACACTTAAAAAAAAAAAAAAGCTAACACTGACCATTTGGGTCACAAAGCTACAGCTGCATCCAAGCTCGTCTTTGATGCCTTATCTCTATTCCGGAATTGTCAGCCTGGCCGTTTCCAAGACGGCTGGCTCATGCGTGTGAAGCTGGAGCTGACCACCAGCTGTTACGTCAAAAGGGGCTGGGACTCGGGCTGGGAAGCCTTAGCTCTTCTCCGTGTGGACCTCTCTCGGGCAGCTCGTGCTGCCTCACGGCACAGTGCGTGGGCTCTGAGAATGGGTGTTCCCACGCCCAGGAAGTGGAAGCGGGCAATTTGCTAAGCCTGGGCTCAGAAAGTGGGACAGCCATCACTTCAAACTACGGTTTCTTAGTTTTTAGTGTACAAATCCTGCACTTCTCTCCCATGAATTTTTTCCTTAAGTATTGTATTCTTATTTATGATGGTGCATTTTCAGGTGAGTAGGTTGATGGTGTTCATCAGATTCTTACAGTCACTAGTATAGTCAGTACCTCTGTTGTGTGATAGAGGGGAAGCGGAAGCCCAGTAATGTTACACAGTGCATCCGAGATGGTGAGTGGTAGAGCTGAGTTTAAGGCTCAGATTGGCTTCTGAATGGTAAAAACTTTTTATTGAATCATTGCCTCATTTTCAGCTTTTTAGGGGGGAGGCTTCTGTCATCCACATGTTTTGTTCTGATTTTATTCACTGGGGCTTAGGCATTGAGTCTCCAAAAATGGGCTTTGCTGCTGAACACATCAGCTGCTCTTGCTCCAAACTGAGCTCTTACCAAACCAAAACCAAGCGAAGCCAAAGCAAACCAATAATAAAAAGCCTCAAAATACATACAACAAATAAAAACAAAACCTATTTTTCTAATTATGTAGGTAATATGAGTTCATTGTGAAAATTTTGGAACCTAACATAAATGGATAACAAAAGATAAAAAATGTATTTGCCAAGATTCATGGAATATTAAGAAGAGTATATAGTCGATGTGAATAAATGTCATTCCCTATGTTTTACATATGTCTGTTTCACTGTTTTTCCGTATTGGAAGATAAGCTCCCCAAAGGGCAGGGATCTGGGAGAATGTTGTTTCCCTCTTAGTCCCAGTTGGTGTGCGGTGTGTAGTTACAGACCCAGTGAGCGACTGGAAGCCCTTCCTGTGGTATTGCCTCCGGCTTGATTTGCTCCTGATGTTTGAATCTAGACGTTCACTCTGTATTCACTTCCTGCCTAGATACTCCTTGTGTTTTATTGTTTAAATTATGTTTTTATTTCTTTTCCCCATCAGTTATACACTGCTTTAAGGCAGGAACCATGGTCTTCTATGTCTTTTCTGTGACTTGTACCTCCAGCCCAGGGCCTACCATGGTCTCTTGGAAAACTTTATAAGTATACTTGAACACTCTGCAAATGCGCATTTTTATTATTAAATTGGCTTATTAAGTATTTCACTTATCTTTGTTGTTCCATACAGGCAGAAGCCACCAATCAAATAATTGCTATTGAACAGTCCCAAGCAGATAGAAGCAAAAAGATTTTCAATCCTGTTAGGTAAGAATATCTTTTCTGAATTCCTTGGTGGATGCTTTATGAAGATCTATCACCTAATTTATTTTTCTTTTTAAAAATGAAACCCATGAATATAATAAATTAATAATAAGTTAGTGAAATGAACACATGGTTGTCAACAAAAGTAAAGTTGTAAAATGCATTGAGATCATGAAAAAATTCTTTATAAAAGGGCCACTTTTTACATCATCATATAAAAATCTAAGTGTATTTATTTGAGAGGTAGAGATAGAAAAAGAGAGAAAGAGACAACAAGCAAACCATCCGCTCGTTTACTGCTCAGATGCCTGCAGCATCCAGGTAGCTGGAATTGGGAGCCGGGAACCCAAGCCAGGTCTCCTATGTGTTTGGCAGAAATTCTACTTGAGCCACACAGCTGCCTCCCAGGGTCTACATTAGCAGGAAGTGTAAGTCAAGAAGCAGAGCTGGGTATTGAACCCAGGGACATATGGGACATAGACACATAGACAGGTATCCTAAACAGCACATTTTTTTAAAAGAGTTATTTATTTATTTGAAAGTTGGAGTTACACAGAGAGAGAAGGAGAGGCCGAGAGAGAGAGAGAGGTCTTTCATCTGCTGGTTCACTCCCCAGATGACCTTAATGGCCAGATCTGTGCCGATCCGAAGCCAGGAGCCAGGAGCTTCTTCCAGGTCTCCCACCAGGTGCAGTGGCCCAAGGACTTGAGCCATCTTCTACTGCTTTCCCAGGCCAGGAGAGAGCTGGATCAGAAGAGGAGCAGCTGGGACTAGAACCGGTGCCCATGTGGGATGCTGGCACTGCAGGCGGCAGCCTTACCTGCTACGCCACAGCGCTGGCCCCCCTAAACAGCATCTTAACCACTAGGCTAGATGCTTCCTCAAATCATAATTATTTTTACAGCAAGCTTGCTAACAACTTTACTACCAATTTTGGGTCTTTGAGATAGATTATGGCTAGATATTTCTTTTACTTTTTCATTTAAATCAGCATGGTGCTGATGAATTAAGGTTTTAGACCCTGCTGTGTTTACGATTGTTTTTCTGTTTTCTTTTTTTTTACCTAGAAACCTTTTATTTAAGGTATATAAACTTCATGCATTTCATGTATACGATTTGTTTTTTCTTATATTTTAAAGTTATGTCAATAGATTGACGAGTGAGTTCCAAAATAGACACATGCAAGATTGGTCATATCCAAGGCATAGGCACTGCATATGGCAGTCCAGAGCCAGAGTCCCCTGTGCAGAATGACTGGGAGTAGGGTTGCCTTTTGACAGATTGGCTGGGATGCAGTTGAGACATCTCAGTGTTTTGTTGCTGAGTCACTCCACTTTGGGCCAGGAAGAAGACGGTTCTGCAGCCTGGACGAACAGGTGATAACTCAAGCTGATGCTCAGGCAGGAACCATTTGTACAAACACCACACTCAGCTCTCCTGGTGCAGCTGGTTCGCTCTCACTGGGCAGGCTGCACGCGGCCATCCTCTGCAGGAAGCTGTCTCCCATCCGTGGCCTGGGATAGGACAGATCTGTGAAGGAGTGGCAAGGCTGGAGAAATTGCAAGACAGCAGTGGTCCAAATGAAATGTGTCTTTTTCTCCCTGCCATGGAAGTGCCAGCACCCGTAGGTGGTGTGAGGAACACATAGCCCTTAGGAGCCAGAAGCTCCAGGCTTGAGCTCCTGCTGAGTCAGTCAGCTTCTCTCACCGCACAAGGTCAGTCTGTGGCCTCCCTGGCATCAGTTCCTGACCATGCTGTGGATCAGCGGTTGGCATGCACTCTCCTGTACCATGTGATGAAACTGAGGAATAAACATTCTCAGAGCCCGAGAGCGGATTAGGTCCCACCAAAGACTTTGTGTTCTCTTGTGATCACTTGGTATTTCTGCTGTTTATTTTAGAATCGACCTCCTGGCCGACCAGGTCACCAAAGTAACGCTGGGACGATTACACTTCAGCGAAACCACAGCAAATAACATGAGAAAGAAGGGGAAACCAAATCCTGACCAGAGGTACTCCAGCCAGCCAGCACGCTGGGCCTCCCTGGGCTGCTGCCCTGCTTTCTCTGACTCTTCCAGTTTATTCCCATACTCCTTTGCCCATAGACATTCTCCCTCTCCTGTCTGCACTCCCCATGATGCCCGCTCTCCTGCGCAGCTTTGATTCCCTGTAGCCTTCTCTGTGGGACTTCGTGCTTATGTGTCATGGCCAAGGCGGGCTGGGCTGACTGCATTTCCCAAGCCTGCGTGCTGGTTGCTGGTGCCGCACTCTGAGTCCTGAAGCTTTGCTTTCATCGTTTGCATTAGAAAAGAAAATACATTTGTCATCATGATTTAGACCTGTGGTTCTCCAAGTGTGTTGCCAGGGCTAGCTAGAAGAAACAGCAATACCTGGACGCTTGTTAGAAATACAAGAAGGTATTCTCAGACCATTCTTCACCATCACGGGCTTCTGGCTGTGCAGGTCCCTAAAGACCAGCTGAACCAAACATTCCAGGTGTGGGGTTCGGCGATTTGTATTTTAAGAAACCCTCCGGGCGATCCTGCTGTGTGCTCGAGTTTGAGAACCACTGGTTTTAGAACATAGGTTTGGTTGTTGAATGGAATTGCATTTGCATATTTGATAATGCCATTTGCTAACTGGGGGACTTTGGGGACGTAACCTCTCTGAGACTGGTTCTCCTATACTGTAAAGTGGGGACAATCATGATATCCTACTCCAATAGGGTTGTTTTTGGAGTCTAAATGAAAGAATGTAGGTAAATCGCTAAGCCCAGTGCCTGACACATTTTGAATTCTCCATGGTAGCTGATAACAGTAATTACTGAATTACTGTACCTTCCAGACAGAAATCTTGTTCTCTAGGATTGGAGAATCCATAGAGCCTTATAATGGAAGCTGGTAAAGGTTTTCATGTAGTGTTAAACAGCAAAAGTTTCTTTGATAATGGTAGTTTTTATTTCAACTTCCAAGAAATGATCTAATCTTAAACTTGTCAGCAAAACATAATGAAGACGCAACTGAAATAACAGTGAGTAAAATCGCCTTGGGAGCCATTGGATTGGAAGTTCAGGGCTAGGGCTGAAGTTGAGACCTGAGGATGATGAAGGTGCAGGCTACACAGCCAAGAACAGATCAGGGTAGGAAGGATGGAGGGAGGTGGGCAAACCCTGCTGGATCACTCTCCATTGAGGCCTAAGACAGTGCCATGGGTGTCTCTGGACAAAGGGACCTCTGGTGGCGTCCTGCTGTTTGTGAGCAGTGCTGTGTCCAGGGCCCGGGAATGCAGCTGGGTGAGGCCTGGCCAAGTCAGCACAGATGCGCTGAGCCCAGGCCCCCACTGGGCTGGCTCCCCAGGGAAGGCTGCTTTCCTGCTGCTTTGGAGCCTGCAAAACAGCTCACACATGCCTCCAAATGGGCAAAGGGCAGACCCCGAACAATACCAAGTGCATCAATTGCTTGCTCATTTCACTGTGGGGGACAACACAGAGCAGAAGGGAAAAGACAGTCTTTAAATAAGCACTCTTCTGGGTAAACACACTATTGATTCCCTGGGGTGTATTTGCACCAACCGTGTCTCTGTTCCCTGACGTGTTGGCATTGGTCTGCTCTTTCTGAATTAGATACTTCATGTTGGTGGTTGGACTGTATGCTGCTAACCAAGACCAGTTCTATCTGTTGTCTGCCCACATCTCTGAGAGGATCATTGTAAGGGTAAGGTCCGTTCTTTGGCTTCCTTGGATGATCTTCCCTATGGGTTGGATTTGAGTTTCCAGTGGGAGGCTCCAATGATGATGTTGATGCTGATGATAGTAATAGCAGAAGCTATTTGTCTAGCTTTTACACAGTGGCTCCCAACCAGGGGTGGTTTTGTTCCCCAAGGGTCGTGTGACAAGGTCTGGAGGATGCTTTTGGACGATACAACTGGCCAGTAGTGGGTAGAGACTCGGGATGCCGCTCAGCACTTTACAGTGCCCGGAACAACCCCCACAACAAAGACGATTCCTCACAAAATGTCAGTGCTCCCAAGGGAGAGAAACCTTGGTCTTTAGTCTGTGTTCCGAGCACGGAGCTAAATAATTTAGATACAGCATCATTTTACCTTGTGATAATTTGCACTGTATCTTCTTTACACCCAGAAGGATTCAGGGTCTAGAAGCCAACTCGTTCACGATCACAGTGTTTATAGATGAGGAAGCTGGGGTGATAACCCAACTCTCCCTGACCCCAAAGTCCACAGGGTGGGGAAAGCGGTAGGAAAGCGGTCCGTGCTCCAAAGTGAAGCAAACAGGAAGGTCTCAGCATTCGGCTGAATGCATGATTGGCTGATTGGCCACAGCTGTGGACAGGAGTCTTGGCAGCTGCAGCTGCGGCTGTGTGAGGTCCGGCTGGCCACCGCTGAGAATGCCAGGGGCGTGAGGTAACAGGTATGTGCAGGGCTGGCCACCCTGGGAGGAGCTGTGTCGTCCCCGGGCTTGGAAGTGGTACAGAGAGGGGGACGTGCAGACTCATTTTTGATGGGCATGACCACGTGTGTGGCTGTTCCCTAGGCCCTGGGGAGAGGAGCTGCACTCCTCGGGGGAAGCAGAGCCTCTCTTGGCCTGAAACAAAACATCCTCTGTGGTGCTTTTGGTAAAGTAAGAGTAGCAAGCTACTTATTAGTAGAAATCCTGAACCTTTCTCAAAGTTTGATTGGAGGCAAAGTAATGAGTAAAAGATCCCTGTGTTTAGATGTCCCAGCAGTGAGGGCTGGGGCCTGATTACCTAGAGCAAATGAGGCTCCCCTGGAGCTGAGGCAGGGTCCGGGGCACCTTCCTTTGGTCAGAGCAGATCTCAGAGGTGCCAGTCCATCCTCAGTAGGGCCCACACTGTCTTTGACGTCTCGCCTGGTGCCATCTGGGCTCGCTATGCTGTGTTAACAGATCTGCTTCAAAGTCCAGTCTGCGAACCTTGGCTGCTTGCTGCTATGATTCCTCTCAGGAAGGAATACAGACTGACAATGCCATTCTTTTCGGAGTAAGCCTAGCTTGGCTGTGCTGACGGTGCTTGTCCAGAGCTGTGTAACTCCTGCCTGAGTCAGACAGTCTGCTAGTCACCTGCATACTTTGAATAATTTACCTGGTGACAAGGCATCTCCATTTGCTGCTGGCAGCTCCTGCACAGCTGCCCTGTGGCTGCTGTAAGAGCTCTCTTAATTGGCACTTCTTTCTATCCAAAGCGCAATGATAATTAGCTCATAATGATGACTTGAAAAGTGCAAAGTCTCTGCAATTCGTTTTCAGTATGAATACTAAAAAATAGTCAATTGTACTCAGCATAGATTATGTGTCATGTTATTCCCTACATTTTTACTTCTAAGATCTGACAGCTTTCTCCTAGCTGTGATTTTTTTTAATTTTTATTTTTTTGGTTAAAGAGAATTAGAGGACCCCATTCCACAAGTGTGCTGAGTAATAGAAACTTACCCTAAAGCAATGATAATAACATATACTCTTCACCTGCCCCTCAACTAGAGCCAGCTTATTGATGTTCTAAGATTCTAACCCCAAAACAAAGAAGTGAAAACAAATGCAGATTTTTTTTTAGCCTCTGCTTAATTATTAATGTTTAAAACAACCAAGAGAAAAATTGATTTTAGAAATAGTGTTAGTGGCTGGTGCTGCGGTGTACCGGGCAAAGCCGCCACCTGCTATGCAGGCATCCCATATGGGCACCAGTTCAAGACCCGGCTGTTCCACTTCTGATCCAGCTCTCTGCTATGGCCTGAGAAAGCAGTGGAAGATGCTTTTACCGTTTCTCCATGAACTTTTGGAAGTACCCTCATAGCCCCTGAAGAATCTCAGGGCAAGAAATGTATTCTGTGCACATTTCTAAAACTCACTCATTCAAACACTAACACCATCTTTTTAAAAAAAGATTTATTTATTTGAAAGGCAGAATTACAGAGAGGCAGAGACAGGAAGAGAGAGAAGTTATATGCTGGTTCACTCCCCAAATGGCCACAACAGCCGGAGCTTGGCCAACCTGAAGCCAGGAGCCAGGAGCTTCTTCTGGGTCTGCCCACATGGGTGCAGGAGCCCAAGGACTTGGGCCATCTTCTACTGCTTTCTCAGGCCATAGCAGAGAGCTGGATCAGAAGAGGTGCAGCCAGGACTTGAAACAGCACCCATATGTGACACTGACGCCGCAGGTTGAGGATTAACCAACTGTTCCATAGCACCAGTCCCAGTGTAGCCTCTTACACCATGGCTGGATTGTTTGAGCTCAAAAATGAAGGATGGAGAGAAAAACTTAACGAAGACATCATGGAGCTGACTGAGTTACACAGAGAACCGCAAACTGCATTTCCTAAATCCAGATGCATTTTGAGGCCTAACAACCACTCTTCCGAATAACAGAGATCAACGCCTTGCTATTTGGTAAAGATAATTGTGTGAAGATTGGACCTTGATGAGTCTCAGGCCCCCAGCAGAGCTGCAGGAGGCCCCACTTAGCAGCCTTCCCCTTGCAGATCTTGGGCAGGATCCAGTAATTGTCTGGGTTGTCAATCAAAACAGCTTTAGAATTCTATTATGGTCTTATCGTGTAAATTGACCAATTTGGTGGCGACTGAGGTTTACTCAGAGAGCAGGTTTGTTTCCCCGGACTTTGTTTTTGGGAGCTTTCCCCAGCGGAGTTCTCTCCGATTCCTGTTGGCTCCGCTTCCCTTCTAGAACACTGCATTACACGTAGTTAGGCATGCTGGTCTGCACGCAGCAGGGGAGATTGCTTTTGTCTGCTTTTCAAAGACACATGAGGGTTCCTCCCTAATTTTGAAAGCAAGTAAGTTACTCAGTGTTATTTTCCAGAAGAACAGAAACGGGCACAGCCCCCAAGAACTCCTGTGTTATGGATCTGCAGTCCACACTGACGTGGGAAGCTGACACCCGGGAGCAGGGAAGAAAACAGAACGGAGGCAGTTGCAGGGATGCCAAGGACAGGGGCAGAGCAGAGCTGTCCTGGTTGTCATCTTATTTTCGCTGCTGTGGCCTGTTTCTACCCACATGACATATAGCCATTTCTTTTTTTTTTTTTTCTAAGATTTATTTATTCATTTGAAAGGCAGAGTTACACAGAGAGAAAAGGAGAGGCAGAGAGAGAGACAGATCTTCCATCCGCTGTTTCACTCCCCAGTTGGCCGCAATAGTCAGAGCTGTGCCGATTTGAAGCCAGGAGCCAGGAACTTCTTCTGGGTCTTCCACGTGGGTGCAGGGGCCCAAGGACTTGGGCCATCCTCTACTGCTTTCCCAGGCCACAGCAGAGAGCTGGATTGCAAGTGGAGCAGCTGGGACTCGAACCGGCATCCATATGGGATGCCAGCAGTGCAGGCACGTCTTTACCTGCTATGCCACAGCACTGGCCCAAGAGAATATGCATTTCTAACAAGCTCCTGGGAGATGCTGATGTGTATCTTGCAGATCATACCCTTGAGTAGCACTGGGGAGAACATTTTTCTGGGCCCACTTTCTGCAATCCTTTAAAAGGGTGAAAAATTTGGTTTCCTAGGAGCTGCCTTTCTCTGTTAATTACAAACGATGGGTCCTGCGCTGTGGTGTAGTGGGTGAAGCTGCAGCCTGTAGTGCCGGCATCCCATATGGGCACTAGTTCGAGTCCCAGCTGCTCCAATTCCGATGCAGCTCTCTGCTATGGCCTGGGAAAGCAGTAGAAGATGGCCCAAGTGCTTGGGCCCCTGCTCCCACGTGGGAGACCCAGAAGAAGCTCCTGGCTCCTGGCTTCAGATCGGCACAGCTCCAGCGACTGTGCCACAGCGTCGACCCCGTACTGCGGCCATTTTGGGAGTGAACTAGCGAGTAGAAGACCCCTCTCTCTCTCTCCCCTCTCCCTCTCTTTTTCTCTTAGCCTCTGCCTCTCTGTAACTCTGCCTTTCAAATAAATAAATAAATAAATAAATAAATAAATAAATCTTTTTAAAAAATTACAAATGCTAGTAAAACAAACAAACAAAAATCCTAGCATTTTATTTCATAGTTAACCAGAGTAGGTCCCAAATTACTTCTGATTCTGTTTCCTATTATAAGCACCTGCAGAGGGCACCCTTTGCATTTGTGGTCTTTGTGATTAGAATTCTCCCAGGATTGTGCCAATTGCAGATTTGTTGCTGAGGGAAGCAGACTGATCAATTATGGGACAGACTGTGGTTTCTGTGCCCAACAGAGGTATGTTGAGGGTGCATTTGAGACTTAACTGTTCATGCACCCATGATTTCATTAATCTCACAGTTATAACCCTGTAAGATGGGTAAAGAAGACAAAATTATCTTTATTCTTCAGAAGGGAAGGCTGGCACAAAGAGGTGAAGTGACTGCCCCAAGGTCACGTAACCAGTTAGTGTCATTACATATGAAGGCATGCCAAAAAGCTCATGGAGGGGCTGGCGCTGAGGCATGGTGGGTAAAGCCGCCTTCTGGAGCATTGGCATCCCATGTGGGTGCCAGTTCAAGTCCTGGCTGCTGCACTTCCAATCTAGCTCCCTGATAATGCACCTGGGAAAGCAGCGGAAGATAGCCCAAATCTTTGGGCCTCTGCACCCACATGGGAGATGGGAATGAAGCTCCTGGCTCCTGGCTTCGGCCTAGCCCAGCCCTGGCCGTTGCAGCCATTTGGAGAGTGAACCAGTGGATGGAAGACCTCTCTCTCTGACTCTCTCACTCTCTCTCTCTACCTCTGCCTCTCTGTAACTCTTTCAAATAAATAAATCTTTAAAAAAATTCATGGAAAAATGGAATGAAAATATGTTTGGGGGTTGCAAAAGCAGTTTATTTTGGTGCAAAAAATTTTGAAATCCACACATATGAGGAATCTTGAGAAAGGTCATAGACAATACATTTTATGAAAAAGCTATGCATGAATTTCAAAAATATTTTTACCCCAAAATCAACATCTTCATTTTATTGTCCATGAACTTTTCAGGGTATCCTCATGGACTAGAAGGTTCAGGTCTTCCCTGAGCCAAATGAATAAATGTATTTCAAAATCTTTAATGAATTCATTTTGGTGTTTAGTACCCGTCAAGCACTACTGGGCTGTATGCGAACATAGCATTTCAGAAAAAAGTAGTACATTATGGCTTGCTTTGACACAGGAAGAGTGTGGATTCCAGAGAAGGGAAAGAAATTCACAAATCTTGTAAGAATATTTCCTGTTCCTGATGAGGACCCTTCCGTGGTCTGTATTTTTAGAACATCGTAAATCTGTGGCCCTTTGCATAATGATCTGAACATATTTTAGGGATATGATTTTTCTCATCTGATGCAAGCCAAGTGAGACTGTCACAATTATTCCAAAAAATTAAATCTACTCATATCCACTGTTGCAGTATCAAGTTACCAATGTGATAATAATTATCCCAAAGTTCATTAAGAGAAAAAAAAAATCCCTCAATATTTTGTTTCCTTGAAGTGGCTCATTATGTTTGGGCATTAAGCAAAATACATCGACATTTTATAGGGCATACCTTTGGATTTAGTTGATTGCTCACTATAAAAGGATTTGCGTCAAAGCCAATTTGCCATTCACAACCAGGGGAGCTCTAGGGACCTTGCAGAAAAGCCCTTTGTTCAAGTGAATTTACAGAAAATAATGTTGAAAGTTGTGACTTTACATTCTTTCACTGCCTTTGTCTGTCAGTTGTCAATGGTTGAGTGTTGCAGGCAACTCGGGCTCAGACTTGTAGAAATGAAAGAGGAAGTTAAAGTCACCTAAAAGTTCTGCTATTTTATTTCTTTTATTTCATTAATTAATTTAAAACATTTATGTGAGAGGCATAGAGAGAGACATATATAAATATATAGTAAGAGAGAGAGAAAAAAAGAGAGCTCCTGTCCACTGGTTCATTCCTAAATGTCTGCAATGGCCAGGGCTGGACTGAGGCCAAGTCTGGCAGCAGGAAAGTCAGTCTGGGTCTCCTACGTGGGTGGCAAGGACCCAATCACTTACATCCTCATTTGCTGCCTTCCAGGATCTGTGTTAGCAGGAAGCTGGAGGCAGGAGCCAGAGCTGGAGTGAGAACCCAGACACTCCAATATGGGAAGCAGGTATCTTAGCTCCAAGACCAAATGCCTGCCCTTTAATTACTTTTTAATGGATAACATATACAGAAGGCAAAACATCCATATACTACTAAGAGAGGATCTAGAGAACAGTAAAACTCCTTCCACCACAATTACATCCACAGGGAGTTACATCTCCTTGTCTCCATCCTTGAGAAATCCACTGTTAGGAGCTTCCAGAATCATCCTCAGACATCATCTGGGAACATTCAACTCATGAGCTTGCAAAGTGTCCCAGACCACCAAAAGGGCAAAAAGTGAAATCATGTATGAATGGTGACTTTTTGGATGATCAGGATCCCAAATGTTTGCCTGGATTTGTGCCTACCTGCCTCCAACACACAAAAATCACAAGTATAAAATATGTCATTATTTTAAAAACAAATTAATTTCCTTGTGAGAATTTCGTAGAATTTAGAGATCCCTATTTGGAAATTTACTCAGCAGCCGTAGGGAAGGAGAATGCTGTACAGTGGAAAGTTCTTTTGCAAAGAATTTTATTGAAGAGTGAAATCTCCAGAACTTTGTCTAGTTCAACAGTTTAATTTGGCTTTTCTTTGACAAATGCTAGGGCCACCTCAAGGTAACAACAGGAAATAGGTAAAGTGAGAATCAGTGTTTAATGAGCAGGACAAGCATAATTCCAGCTCCAGGACTCAGCTGCTTTGTGCCTTTAGGTGACTTATTTATCCTTTAAGAATGTCAGTATCAATAAAATGAAGATAATAGTACATATCTAATTGCATTGCAGCATGAATTAACATTCAACAAATAGAGCTGCTCTTATTTCCCCCCCAGTTTTATCTGTGTTTAGGGAGTACTTGAGTTACATTAAATATATTTGTATTATCTTTGCCAATTGCATATATGGCCATAAATGAGTATTTTGAAACTATGGAAGCACTAGTTACATGCCAGGTCCTTTATTTAGGTGAACGTTGATAAGCGAGCATCATTCTGTGATGTAACGCTCTGATTTTAAGTCATGACTATTATAGTCCTTGAAAAGACGATATTTTTAGTTTTTTCCCCTCCCTCCCTCCCTCCTTCTTTCCATCCTTCCTCCCTTCCTCCCTTCCTTCCTTCCTTTTTGGATATATTTGTTTAAAGGCAGGATTACTGAGGGAAAGAGAGAGACACCCAGAGCGAGATCTTCTATCTGCTGGCTCACTTCCCAAATGGCCGGAGCTGGGCCAGGTCAAAGCCAGAAGCCAGGAACTCCATATGGGTCTCCCAGGATCCAGGAGCCTCCTCTGGATCTCCCACATGGGTTCAGGGATCCAAGCACTCAGGCCATCTTCTGCTGCCTTCCCAGGCGCATTAGCAGGGAGCAGTTTTGAAAGTGGAACAGCAGAGATTCCAATATGGGCTGCCAGCATTGTAGGCAGTAACTCAACCCATGTACCACAGCACTGGCCCCTGGTTTTTCTTTGTCACCCACCTGACACTCCCAGAGAGATGTGGTGGAGACTGTATGTTCCCAGCTCAGCATACAGAGCTGCTGCTACTGGAGAGGTGGGTAATAAGGGAAGCCTCCTGGCTTTTCTGGGGCCCTGGAATTCTCTGGTTATGTCAGGGGTGCCCCACCTAGTGTAGGATTCCCGTATGAAAAGCTTAGACAACATTCTGTTTTCTTTTGCTCTGAACACCAACACAGTCATCTGTTCCTGCTACTATAACTTTAACTGTAATATATTTATGTATTTTTCCAGGCCTCTAACCCAGGGCAATTTGAAAATGACAGTGATGCATTATGGCAGCGAGGACAAGTCCCAGAGTCTGTCGTCTGTCACGGTCGAGTAGGAATAAACACAGATGCGCCGGATGAAGCCCTGGTTGTCTGTGGCAACATGAAAGTGATGGGGACGATCCTGCATCCCTCTGACAGCCGTGCAAAGCAGAATGTCCAGGAGGTGAGCACAGGGCCAGGCCTTGGGCCCCTTCTCAACCAGGTGTGCTGGGCACGTCTGGCCTCTGACACACCTTGCCCCAGGCAGCCTTCCATGCTGCTCGTCATGTGAGATGAACCTGCTACTTTGAAATGATGACCGAGCTCCCTGGCATCGTTGCTGGAACTGTAAAGCAGTCCCTACCCGAGAATGAGTGCACCTGACAGGGCGGTGGCATCGACAGGATGCATTGGCGTCGCAGCCATTGCCCTTCCTTCCTCGCTTTGTCAGTGGCCGTAGCTTGCCTTGCCTTTTCCTTTCCGTCTCATGGCTCATCTTCGGAGCACTGTCTCAGGCCAGTTCCTGATCATATTTCTGCTGGAGCCCCTTCCTCCCAGAATGCGTGGTCCCAGCCATGCCTGCCATTGTCTTCCTGGAATGTCATCTTTCTCTGAGGAGCCCTTGAGAAACTCTCCCTTCCCAGTCTTTACTGGGTCACAGGGCTCCAGGTGAAGACCCTTTCTCTCTGTGCAGAGGGGGTCGCCCCACTGGAAGTCAGAAAGCTCACCCAGACACGAGAAGACTGCTCCTCCCCTTGGAGCTCTCCCCAGCAACGTGACCCTGGAGAAACACTTAATCTCAGGGAATTCAGTGTCTTTGTCTAAAGGCGGAAATGTGCCTGCTTGTCTGCCACTCGGACACTTTTTTATATTTTAACCAGTTGAGACATTATGTTATCATGGAAAGTTACAACCTCTGTGCAGACCAAAGGGGTTAGGATAAAGATTCCCATCACTTAGCCAATCCTGGTTTCACTGCTCCCGCTATTTCATTCTATTCACTGCTTCTGTTCCTTCCCTACTCGCCACTTAGGCTACCGTGAAATCATTTCTTTCTTGAAAAAGGATTCTCCCCTTGGCTTACCCCAATGTTTTAAAATATTTTTATATATAGTTAGTTATTTTTATTTGAAAGGCAGGGAGAGAGAGAGCCAGAGACCAATACAGGCAGATTTTCTACCTCTGCTGGTTTATTCCTCAGATGCCTGAAAATAGCAAGGGCAAGGCCAGGTTTAAGTCAAGAGTCTGGAACTCAGTCTGGGTCTTCCACATTGGTGGCAGGGACTCAAGTGCTTGAGCCATCATCTGCTGTTTCCCAAGGCACACACCAGCAGGAAACTGGAATCGAGGATAGAGCCAGTACTCTAACCCAATATACAGACATCTTGGCCACCAGGCCAAATGCCGCCCTCCCTAGCCTCCAAAAGAATTTTTGAGTCTATGGCAGAATTGCATCTTTAAATCTGATTTTCTTTTTTTCTTTACCCCCTCCCCCCCTTTTTTTAGCCACTAGGAGACCTAATCTGTTAATCATTGGCCTTTCTTCCTGAATTCCTTTCCCAGTGTAAATCTGCACTGGTTTTTCTAAAGCAGCCAAGGAATGTCCTTTGCTTAGAGGATTCCAAAGAATGATTGTAATTGTAGACTGTTATACGATTGTGAAATCACAGCTCATGATAGAGAGCTATGTGACCTGGTAGCTGGAGGACAGCTCAGGGCTACAAAGGTCTCATGCATTTCCAGAGCTTGGTCCTCGAAATGGCAAGACATAAACTGCATTTCAAGTCCGTCCATGAACACTTGTCCTTGCAGTTGGCTATACAATTTCCTATGGAGTCTTATTGAAATGGAAATGGAACATAACAAGTGGGAAAAGTACACCACAACTGCTCCTCCCACATCAGGCTTAGTATAGAACTGCATTTACCAAAGTCTTCAAACATTGCTCCTTGGTTTGAGGGAAATGTCTTGTCTTAGGATAACAAGCTGGCGGGCACCGCGGCTCACTAGGCTAATCCTCTGCCTAGCGGCGCCGGCACACCGAGTTCTAGTCCCGGTCGGGGCTCTGGATTCTGTCCCGGTTGCCCCTCTTCCAGGCCAGCTCTCTGCTGTGGCCAGGGAGTACAGTGGAGGATGGCCCAAGTCCTTGGGCCCTGCACTCCATGGGAAACCAGGATAAGTACCTGGCTCCTGCCATCGGATCAGCGCGGCGGCCATTGGAGGGTGAACCAATGGCAAAGGAAGACCTTTCTCTCTGTCTCTCTCTCTCACTGTCCACTCTGCCTGTCAAAAAAAAAAAAAAAAAAAAAAGGATAACAAGCTTCCCTAGAATTTCTCAGTTGTCTTCTAGGACACCTTCTTTATCTAAATGAAAGGTTATCCCAACCCAGGCTCTAAGCATGAAGTTGCTGCGTCCCCTTCCTGTTCCCAACAGCTGATGGAATAAAGAGAATCCTGAGCCCTTGGCTAGAAGACTAGAGGTTTAGGTCTGACTCCACCAGCCCAGGGATTTTAGACCAGAGACATTCTGTGCCTTTGTTTTGTGGTCTGTGTCCAGGGAATGTCCATATTCATTCTATACCTGTTACAGGATTTTTCTAAGCTTATAGACGTAAAAGATTTTTTAGCTGTATAAAGCAGAACAAATAGATATTTTTATTTGCTTGTACAAAATGCAACTTATATGATTCATTTGTTGCATTTTTTCATTTTAATGTATTTGTTCTACCTTTAGTCTATCCACATTTATGAAGTATATGTTCCTAAAAATCCTGTCTGTCCTGTCTGCCACTTATTAGAGCCAAGAGAGATGATAGTAATTGTTGGTGCTGCTGCTGCTGAGTGTGAACTTGATCTTCTCTCTCCCCAGCTCAATTTTTCCAGCTTTTAAAAAGCCAGTCATTCCTCCAGATTCTCTGGGAAGCTCACTGTCTTGATCCATTTGTGCTGTTGTAATAGAATGCCATGGACTGATAAGGAACAGAAATTTGTTTCTCACAGTTCTGGTGGCTGGGAAGTCCAACATCAAAATGCTGGCAGGCTTGGTGTTTGGTGAAGACCCTGATCCCTGCTTCCATGGGGATTCCCTCAACCCTGTGTCCTCACATTGTGGAGGGGTGGGAAAGACAAAAAAAAAAAAAAAAAAAAAAGAAGAAGGAAAAAAAAAGCCTAAGCTAATTGCTTCCAGCCCTTTTATAAGGCATTAATCCATGCCCTCCTGAATTATAAACTTCCTCCAAAGCCCACCTTTGATACCACCCTAGCAAGAATTAAGTTTTCACATGAATTTTGAATGTGATATCATCATTCAAACCATAGTACTGACCCTTAATCACTTTGATTGCATGCATAGGAATGGAAACAGTTTCTCATTCTTTAAGGAGGCCCGCCAGCTAGAGCCAGCATCTGCATTCGCTACTATTGCAAAATGTAGTGGCCAAGCTCGTTGCCCAACACGGTGATCTGGGAAATTGACTGCAGTTTGCTGCTTTGCTCTACGGGTCTTTTCACTCCAGGCATGGCAAACACGAGTATTGCCTAGAACCCTGGTGGAGGAAACCTCTGGTTTTCACACAGGCACACACCCAAGACCCAGAAAAGATGATGCGGGCGCAATTGGAACCTTTGTCACTGAAGCAACAGGGAGATGAGGTCATCCCAAATGCAGAGCAGCTTGCCTCGCCAGACCGTGACCTTATTTCTGCCTGGGTGACTGCAGACTAGAGACGGAAACGCAGCTCTGAGAGCAGAACTGGGTGGAAGGGACACGCTGATAACCTAAGGGACTTGAAGAGTATTGGTGTCAATAAGAAAAAAATGAGGAAGTTGAGAGCTTCCACTGGTTCTGTGGTGGAGACTGAAAAATGGCCCCAAGAGACTTAAAAGCAAAATCCAGAAAAAAAAAAAATCAGTTAAGAAAAATGCTCAAAGGTTGTTTTGCCCTTCCCCTACCACATCAGCCAGTTTGCTGGTTGAAGACAAAAAGCTTTTTAGCTCAGGAAAGTGAAACATGCAAAGTCTCCCTCGGGGCCTGGAGGCAAATGCAGAAGTTCTTCAGCTGGGATGAGCAGGTGTCACTGCTGGGGCTCGTGACAGCAGCCTGAGGGCAGGATGTGGGCGGGGACCAGGTGATGGATAACAGGAGTGGACTTCGAACTTTGTGATGTAGAAACTGTGGGGGTGAGGTGGCATGACAATGATGGCTGTTCACCTGCATGGTCACTGTGTTCCAAAAGTGTGGGGAGCAATCCGGACTAGACTGAGTTACTGGAATTAAGACTTATTCTATGCATCTGCTCTCCCACAATATGGCGCTGGGAGAGAAGTAAACAGCTTCTGCACAGCTGCCTCCAGTTCAACCAATAAACTGTAGGACTTGCTCCTGATTGGAGGAGAGCAGCGTACTCGGCGTGTGGGCAGCCGAGTTGGGATTGGCGGAGGAGGACTATAAAGGAGGAGAGAGACGGCATGCACCAGGGAACATCTAAGGGGAACATCTAGCTGAAGGAACACCTATGCAGCCCCCGAGAGAGCCGGCCGGCGGTGTGCCGCTCCCCTGCGGAAGTGGGGAATGTGGCCAGGGGGAACTGCCCTTCCACGGAGGTGGAAGGGACGGTAGCCAACCCGGGAAGAACCAGCAGCAAACCCGGGGAGGGCCGAGCAGACGAAAGAACAGCGCAGGGTCCTGTGTCGTTCCTCCACGAAGAGGGGGAGCGACACAAAAGTGTCTTGGACAAGAGCAAATAGACAGCCCTGTTGAGCTTGTGGCTTCTTACTCAACACACACACTGGTGAGCAAAGTGGATTCAGTGCTGGCGTGTGTGGAGTTCCTGGGGAGGGCCGAAAGAAAGCTTTGCCCTGGCCTCAAGACTTCCCTGGGCCTAGTGTGTTCATGGGGAACTTGCCATACACCGTTTATATTTAGCTTTGGGGAGCTTCCAAACCAGCACTGGAAATGTGAAGAGCATTTCTTTTGAGGAACTTTGTTATATAAGATGCTTAGGTCTCCCAGTTAACCCTTAAAATTTTTCTCACACCAGAAATCTAATTGTGCACCAGTAATTGTATGACAGGACCTCATTGCTATGTCTAGCATTTGCTAAGTACGTTAACAACTTTAAGGTAGGAGTTAGGAAAAGAATTTCTTAGGGAAGGCCGTTGTTCTCCGCAGTCTCGAAGCCTGAGTGAGGGCACATCCTCCTCTGCTTTTGGCAAGGAAGGAACCCACTTGGCCTCCACTTGGTTCCCTGGTGGGGGCTCCTGCAGGCTGCACAGGAACCAAGGGGACAATGGGGAACCAGTGCAGGACTGCCGTGGCCCAGGGGGTGAAGACCTGGGCAGGGCCTGGGAATGGGAGGGTGGCCCAAGCTGGCGTTTGGTTGCCTTCCTTTCTTCAGTTTGGTTACTGTCAGGAATTGTCCTGGCATGGCACTACCCTCATTCTTTGCTTCTTTTTCTCTCCATCGAAGATTTTGTCAGCCACTTTGCCGGGCCCTGCAATGAATAAGACACAAGCTTTAGCCTCAGGAATGGGACTTTTATTAACATTTAAGCTCCAAATAAGAAACATGCAATGATATTGAATCTGGCAGCCACCCGCTGTGGCACGTAATAGTTATTCAGTAAACATCTGTTGAATGAGTGAAGGAGCTCACAGGAACAGATGTATGCACAGACAACATAAAATTTGCAATTGTTCCTTTCTACATGGGCTTCAAGACCTTCCCTGTCCTGACCTTAACCTTTACCATCCAGAAATGCCAAAATCTGCCTTGGTTCTCCAGACATCATTCAGGACTTTTCTTTCTTGGGACTTGGTTCATGGTGTTCTCTCTGCCTAGCATTTGTGACTTAGTCTTGGCTTTTCTCTCTCCTCCCAGCTCTACCTCTTCCCTAACTCCTACCACAAACTCAATAATGTATGTAAAATATATCAGTTGAGCACCTGCCACGGGCAAGGAGTTGTACTAGAAACTGGTGATGTGATGATGCGCAGAAACCCTGGCTCAGGTGTGTCCTCTAGGGTGTACGTTCTGTAGGGGAAGACGGGATAAAACCACCACCATGAGTTGTCTGGTGATGGTTGTGACAGGTGCCGTGAGGATGTGAAGCAGAGGAACTCTTCCTGGTCTTGAAGGTCAAGAAGTGCTTCTCTGAGAGGGGGATGTTTGCACTGAGAGGGGGGAAAGTAGAGCTTTCGAAGCCGGGAAAAAGGCGTGGGCCGAGGCCCTGAGGAGAGGAGCTGAAGCAGTTCAGCTGGGCTTCACCATCCCTGGGAAGCTTTCCTGTGTGCTCCCCTCAAAGTATTTTAGGTCCCTCCTTGGAACTGCCGCAGTTTGCTGTTCCTAACTCCACCATCACCCTGCCTTTCTCACATTGCAGTACGTAACCCTATGTGATGTGTCTGCCTCCTTGTCTAGACCACTCCCCACACTTAGTAGTATGTGATACGCTGAAGGTGATTGGTAAACGTTACATAAAACGTGGAATGAATGAATTAGCTTTTAATAACAATCGTTACCAAAACAGCTCAAAATTATGCTCTGGGTAAGAAGCTAAAGTAAAGCCAAGTGATACAGCCAATGAAGCACCAAGCCACCATTCTTCATCAGCAGCCCTCAATGACCATGCAGGAGTATTACCGCCACCTCGTGCAGTGGGCCAAGGGAAGAATTGAGGGCCAGGACAGGGTTTTCTTAAAACAACACTGACAGACGTTTTTCATTCTTCTAATGCACAGATGAATGCCCAGGCAGCCTATTTTTAATCATGAAGATGCCACGGGCTTCATAACTCAGTTGTGTTCTCCAGGATGATTGGGGGCCTACAAAGGGTGCCCACTCTCTCCTTGCCAAATAAGGTCATTATCCAACAAGTCAACCCTGTTATTTTCATCAATTCATTATAAAACCAAACTCAAAGGGGGATCGTTTGGATCACACACATTTAGCCATTGGGAAAATTCGCTATAGTGTCTTGATGGTTACCTGTTGCTGGGAGCCAGGGAAAATTTTTAGGACTGTGAGTGACAGCTGGAAATGCCTTTCATGGGAAACAGTGATCTCAGAGCAGGGTGCTCGGGAGAATTTCCTGGAGAAGGGGAGGGTCTGTGTGCCGAGGAATGGGAGTTAGGTTATCCCAGTTTAAAATCTTGAAGAAATTTTCTTCAGCAAAATGTCTAAAAACTATCCCATGACATAGGATCGATCTATTCCTCCAAGTTGGCACTTCCATTAAGCACTGCATTTTCTATTGCGAATACAGGTTTGGTCATGGGCTCCTTTGAAAATGACACCTTGCAATCCTGAACAGTGATTGTTTAGTTCCAAAGTAAGGATCTCCTTTCTCAGAAGGAGGACTCGCCTTCTCCAGGAGAGAAGTCAGGCAACAGCAGTGAGTGGCGGAGTTTGGCCCTGTAATTTGGACATGAAACTCTGGACCAGTTTATTAATCAGTGGATGCAAGTCGCTGATGGGAACTTTGAAACTTTAGCTCCTCTGAGGAGAAAAAAATACATTTCTCTTAAAAATAGTTTGAACAGAAGAAAAAACAGTCTCATTGTTAATATTCCTAATCTCTCTGGGCCACTGTGGGCATTGATTTGAATAGCAAATATCTATGCAAGTGAAATCTGCTCTTCTTTAATTAAATTAGGTTGACACAAATGAACAGCTGAGAAGAATAGCCCAGATGAGGATTGTTGAATACGAATACAAGCCTGAATTTGCATCTGCGATGGGAATAAACACTGCTCATCAAACAGGTACACAAATTCCCTTTTAATTCTGTAGGGTCAGTGATTAAAATTTTCATCCTTCCTTTATTTGGAGGTTGCATGCTGCAGCATTTGACAACAACTAGTCTCACTCTTCCTTTGGGAAACCCAGAGTTGCTAAAACAGGGAAGGTTAAAGAATTTCTGTGTTCTTTTTACTCAGCACCCCCATGCCTGCACCCCAAGTCCTGGTGGGATATTTTGAGTACATTGGTTCTTTTTGCTGATGGGATGGAGGTTCAGGGGCAGATGGCAGCTTAATCTGTATGAGGAGCAGGTTTGGGCAGTCCCCGGATGGTGAGAGAAGGTATCAGGGTTGATAAGAGAAGGAAAAAATGAAGTGATATTTATACTCCAATCCAGGAATGCTAAATAAAGATTAAACATTCAGGGGACAAGACCACCTAAAGAAAAGAAACTTAGCTCATGCCTTACCCTTCCCTCTATGCACAGGGGTTTTAAAGTAACTACTAAGCATTTCTAACATTTGATCCAGTCTCAGAAAAACAAAACAAAACAACAAAACAAAGAAAATGACATTCCCACTTTTAATCCTATAGTAGTTCTTAGTGCAGAATTCCTTATTTGCATCCTCTGTCAAAGCAAACACTTTAAAGGGGTAAGCATGTACCCATAAATGTGGCTGTCGCTGTTCCATTCCAACATGGGCCTGCAAGGACTGTCTCTGGGAGGGTCTTTCCCTGATTAAGCCTGTTGGAGTGTTTTGTTATAGGAATGATTGCCCAGGAGGTGCAGGAGATCCTGCCTGGAGCCGTCAGAGAGGTTGGCAGTGTCACCTGTGAGAATGGAGAGACGCTGGAGAACTTCCTCATGGTCGATAAGGTAATCAGTCGATGACGAGGTATCTGCCACTGTAGCTTCCACCCCCGGCTCAGGCCCCCGTGTGTGTAGCAGCACAATGTACTGAAACATCCATCCAGGAAATGGGACCTTGAAAACAGATTTTCACTGAACTCTGGAGTAAATTAGTATCAGTTATCCCACGTTGTTCATAGGCACTAATAAGAAATCCCATAAATCCACTCTCTGATCCTGGAAGATGTCAAATGCTTGAGATATGGATGGGTTGATTGATTTGGTTTCTCTACATTGTATCTTTTTTTCCCAAAGATTTATTTATTTCTTTGAAAGGCAGAGTTAGAGAGAGGCAGAGGCAGAGAGATAGAGACAGAGAGGTCTTCCATCCGCTGGTTCACTCCCTAGATGGCCACAATGGCCAGAGCTATGCAGATCCGAAACCAGGAACCAGAAGCTTCTTCCTGGTTTCCCACACAGATGCATGGGACTTGGGCCATTTTCCACTGCTTTCCCAGGCCATAGCAGAGAGCTGGATTGGAAGTGGAGCAGCCACCGGTGCCCATATGGGATGCCAGCACTGCAGGCAGCAGCTTTACCTACTACCCAGCAGTGCTGGCCATGGCTCCTCTACACTGTATCTTAAAACATCAAGCGTCATTTTGTAACCCATAAATATATGCAGCTACAGTTTGTCAATATGTAATAATTTAAGAAAAAGAAGTCTCCTGGCAGGGGAGAAGGAATATGCAGTAGTAAGAATTTGAGTTCAGAAGGTTTGTTAAAGAAAAATTGGCACTGGACAAGTCCACTTAGCATGAATGTGCATAAAACGAGAATCAAACATCATGATAAATACTGACACAACAAGCTCTGATTAATTTTTTAAAATGGAACTAAAACTTAGGAAAATGAATCTTCCTTTCTGTAATATAGCTAAAATGCTAATTTCCCAATGTGCCTCTTAGAATGATTCAAGGCCGAATGAAGGGTTGACATATTTGAGCATCAATTTGATAAAATTATGTGTCTCATTCACTGTACAATCATAAAGTGGGTCATTTTTCCAACTATTCATGGACTTCATCATTTTCCCCCGAGGGAGTGTCTTAATTCTTTGATATTCCAAGCACTGTCTCTTGAAGGCATGTTACTGTGCCTGTAGATTAGCTTCCCTTCACTTGGCAACAGGCAAAGCCTGCCAGTTCCTTGCTTGTCAGTGCCGTGTGTGTTAGGAGTCATTCGCTGATAACATGTCTGTCAACTCTGCGAAATCCTGCCTATTTGCAAGGCTTGCAAATTCACTCTGCTATTGATTTGCTTTACATTACATTGCTACATTTGATACTGGGAGGAAAGACTGATTAAAACAGGGATTTTGTCGTAGCTGGGAGAGATGTTTGGATGGAAACTGATTAGTAAGTTCACGTAGGTCGTGCTCATCCAACATCAAAATACAGCACTGGGGTTCTTACTAAGATGCAGATTGCGATTCTGTAAGAATGGGTGAGATCAGAGATTCTGCAGTTCTTTTTTTTTTTTTTTTAAGATTTATTTTATTTATTTGAAAGGCAGAGTGACAGGGAGAGAGAGAAAGGAAGGGAAGGAGGGAGAGAGGGAGAGGAAGAGATCTTCTGGCTGCTGGTTTATTCCCCGAAATGGCCTCAATGGCTGGGATGGGCCAGTCTGAAACCAGGAATGAGGAACTCCCTCTGACTCTGCCACATGGATGGCAGGAGCCCCAGCACTTGGGCCATCTTCCACTGCGTTTCCAGAAAGCTGCATCAGAGTAGTGGAGTAGCTGAGTCTTTAACTGGTGCTCCAGTATGGGGTGCTGGCATCTCAGGCGGTGGCTTAACCCACAGTGCCACAATGCTGGCCCTGAGTCTGTGCTTCTAAGCAGCCTCCGGGTGCCGCCTGTCTTGCCATCCCCACGGTGGAGTATCACAGCAACATTAACACTTGGATGATAGGATGACCTTGGAGTCCTGTTCAGCCTTGGGCTCCAAGAGCTGAGTGGAAGAAGTTGACCTCTTACCTCCTGTTCTCAAGGAATGCGTTTTAGATAGAAGAGATTCTTCAGTCTCTCTTTCTAAGATCTTGACTGTCCCCTCATTTAAGAACTGGATCATAGGCTGGCGCCGTGGCTCAATAGGCTAATCCTCTACCTGCGGCGCCGGCACACCAAGTTCTAGTCCCAGTTGCCCCTCTTCCAGTCCAGCTCTCTGCTGTGGCCCGGGAAGGCAGTGGAGGATGGCCCAAGTGCTTGGGCCCTGCACCCCATGGGATACCAGGAGAAGCACCTGGCTCCTGGCTTCGGATCAGCGCAGTGCGCCGGCCACAGTGGCCATTGGAGGGTGAGCCAACAGCAAAGGAAGACCTTTCTCTTTGTCTCTCTCTCTCTCACTGTCCACTCTGCCTGTCAAAAAAAAAAAAAAAAGAAAAAAGAAAAAAGAACTGTATCATGAGCGATGTGTTTATTCCCAATTATTATGTAATAGGAAGATATACAAAATGTGAAATTTATCCTCTTAATCACTTAAGTGTACAGCTCAATGATATTCAACACAGTCCTAATGTTGTATAACCATCTCCACCATCCATCTCCAGAACTCTTCATTTTGTAAATCTGAAACTCCATACCCATGAAACAGAACTCCCCAACCCTCTCTCCCCACAACCCCTAGCAACCACCATTCCACTTGCTGTCTCTGATTTTGACAGCTCTAAGCATCTCATGTAAGTGGAATCCTACAGTATTGTCTTTTTGTGACTGGCTTACATCATGTCGCATAATGCCCTCAAAGTTCATCTGTATTGCAGCATATGTCAGAATTATCTTTCTTTTTAAGGTTAAATAATATTCTGCTATATGTGTGGGAATTTACCGTATTTTGTTTATCCACCTCTTTGTTGATGGATATGTGGGTTGTTTTCATGTTTTAGCTATTGTAAATAATGCTGCTATGAATGTGGGTACAAATATTCTTCAAGACACTGTTTAGAATTCTTTGGCAAGACACATACCTTGAAGGGGAATTGCTGTATCATATGGTTATTCTGTTAATTTTTGAGGAATTTCCATATGGTTTTCTACAGTAACTCTATCATTTTACATTTCTACCAACCATGCCCAAGGTGTCTAATTTCTCCATATCCTCATTAACAAAGCCATCCTAATGGGTGTGCAGTGGTATATCATAATAGTTTTTATTTTCAAACAAGTGGTGATACTGAGTACTTTTCATATGTTTATTGGCCATTTGTACATCATCTTTGGAGAAATGTCTATTGGAGTCCTTTGCCCATTTTTTGATAGGGCTGTTTGATTTCTGTTGTTGAGCTTTAGGAATTCTCTATTTCTTCTGGACACTAATCCATTATCAGATATATGATTTTTTTTAAAAAATTTTTATTTATTTGAGAGGTAGAGTTATAGAAAGAGAGAGGGAGAGACAAAGGGAAAGTTCTTTTATCTGCTGGCTCACTCCCCAGATGGCCGCAGCAACAAGAGCTGTGCCTCTCCAAAGCCAGAAGTCAGAAGTTTTCCAGGTCTCCCACATGGGTGCAGAGGACCAGGCACTTGGGCCATCTTCTACTGCTTTCCCAGGCCATAGTGGAGAACTGGATTTGAAGAGGAACAACTGAGGCTGGAACCGGCACCCACATGGGATGCCAACGTGGCAGATGGAGGCTTAGCCTACTACGCCACAGCACCGGCCCCTACCAGATATATGATTCACAAAGATTTTCTCACATTTTATGGGTTTTCTTTTCACTTTCTTTTTTTTTATTATTTATTTGAAAGAGTTACAGAGAGAGGTAGACAGAGAGAAAGGTCTTCCATCCGCTGGTTCATTCCTCAGATGGCCGTAATGGCTGGAGCTGCACCGATCCAAAGGCAGGAGCCAGGAGCTTCCTCCAGGTCTCCCACATGAGTGCAAGGGCCCAAGGACTTGGGCCATCTTCTACTGCTTTCCCAGGCCACAGCGGAGAGCTGGATTAGAAGTGAAGCACCTGGGACTTGAACTGGCACCCATATGGGATGCTGGTGCTTTAGTCCAGGGCTGTAACCCACTGTGCCACAGCACCTGCCCCTACTTTCTTGATAGTGCCTTTTTATGCATAAAAGTTTTTGGTTTTGATGAAACATTGAATTTATCTGTTGTTCGTTGCCTGTGCCTTTGGTGTCATAGCAAAGAAATCATTGCTAAACCCAGTGTTGTAAAGATTTTGCCCTGTGTTTTCTTCTGAGAGTATTGTAGTTTCAAGTTTTGCATTTAAGTTTTTTATTCCTTGTGAGTTACCATTTGCATATGGCTTTAGGTAAGGGTCCTGGTTCATCTTTGGGATGTGTATATCCAGTTTCTCCATCACCCTTTGTTGAAGGCTCTCCTTTGCCCATTGTAGGGTCTTGACATCCTTATCAAAAATCATTTTATTGCATGTGTGAGAGTTGCTTCTAGACTCTCTGTTCTATTCCATTGGTATCTATGTCTGTCTCTATAGCCATGCCATACTGTTTTCAAACTGTAGCTTTGTAAGTTATGAGATGAGGAAGTTGAGAGTCCTTCAGCTTTGTTCTTTTTCAAAATTTCTTGGGCTATTAAAAGTCTTTTGAGAGTCCATGCAAATTTTGGAATTGGTTTTTCTCTTTCTGCAGTAAACATTGTTAGAATTTTAATAGCAATTGTATTGAATCTACATATCACTTGAAGTAGCAGTAGCACTTTAAGTGCTGAGTTAAACACCTGCCCATGTGAGATTCTTGAGGTCTGGGAATATGCCTCATCAGTCCTGTGTTGATTGTAGTACAGAGTCTGGCACTTTGGGAATGGCCAGTATTGTCACACAGTGAGTTAAGCCCCTGCCTGCAATACCGCCATCCCATCTGAGCAGTGGTTCAAGTCTCAGCTTGCTTCACTTCTAGTCCAGCCCCCTGCTAATGCTCCTGGGAAAGCAGCAAATAATGGCCAGGTGCTTGAGCCCCTGAACTCACATGGGAGACTCTGATGGAGTTCTAGGCT